GCAGACCAGGAAGCAGGGTCATAGTGGGAAGGCTGCGGTCAAACCTCCCATCGTCCAGATTAGAATAAGGAAGGACATTAAGCCAGAACGGGGTTGGGTGGAGATACAGTCATGCTTAAAAAAAATTTGTTCGGGGGAAAAAAAGATCAAGGAGATGTGCAAGTTTTTCCCAGCCTTCAGCAAAGGGCTTGCAGCGGAGGAGTTTGGGCATCCATTTGCTTGCCCCCAATTTTGAACCCTTCATATCAATACAGGCACGTTGTGCTACACATCTGAGGATGATGCTGCCAGTGGTGATTATCCTGGATGTGTATGGATTCAATTGAAAAGACTGGTACCAGTCTAGCCATTTCCTGTGTTGTACAAATAATTGATTTCAAACTGTAGCATTTTGAAAATACATATATACTGCCCAAACCAAGAATTCGATGTAGAAGTAAGCAAGGGCTTCCTAACCTGTCTGCACAAACAGCTGATTTAATCACTTTGATTTTAAATTAACAAGTCAAAAGGTCAGTCGATTTGATTAAAAACACATGCACAGTCTAATTGATTTGTTGACTGAACTGACTGTTCCCATGAGGAAACAGCGTGACGTGATGCCAGGAAAAGTGGCCTGACATCTGGCAGCCTCCCTGGGGTGCAGGCCACGCTACACAGCAGTTGTGGGAACTTGGTGAGCCTCTGAGGCTTGGGACATCCATGTCTCTGTCCTAGATTCTGGCAATAATCAAATGAGGTAGTGTAAGTAGAAATAAGTTTATACACTGGAAACTTCTCTCCTAAATCTGGTTGTTACTATAAATAACTGTCACAAACTTCTCCCAAAGCCAAACCAAGTATTCCTCAAACCTTTGAAATGCCAACCGTATACCTGGTGTGCTTTCTCACGGGAACTTTCCATGTTTGACGATTTCCATCCCTCTGCCGTCTGAATCCTGCTTCCTAGTGGTATTCAACAATGCCCTTTGTTAACAATTTAATTGAGCACTGCCGCAGATTGTAAGCCCAGCCAGTGCTGCAGTTAATGGAAATTCTCCTTTATATGAGGTGCATCTGCTGTGACATCTGTCTGAAACCCATGGAGAGGATTCGGTGTTCAAAAGCAAATTGAGGAATTACTATGTAATTGCGCTTTAAATTGGGTAGTCACTGATTTGCTCTCAAAATTCCTGTCTTTTGGACATACGGAATGTTAAACCAATATTAAAACCACCTGAGTTCTTTCAACACGAACAGCTTATGTTCTTAAAATGGTCAAAATAAAAATTTGAGGTGAACACCTGCATCTGTGGCCCCCCAAATCACAGCATTGTTTCCAGAAGAGAAAAAGTGGAGAGAAAAGAAATGAGAGTGGGAGAAGGAGCCATTAATAAAGGGAGGAGGAAATAGGGGGGTATTTTTAAGGTGGATTACTAAGTGCTTTCTCAGGCATAAAGCCTGTGAAATTGCTCACCCTCTCTGGTTGGAGAAAACATGGAGAAGTAGAAATAAGAAAGAGAGATCAGAGATGCAAGATTTCACCTGCCCCTGCCCTCCCCCCCCCCAAAAAAAAATCACTGGTGATACTATTTGGAGTTTGGAAAACTGCATCATATATAGAGAGAAGAGGAATTAATGACTCAAGAGCCGGTATCTAATAGTCCCTTTA